TATCACTTTGAGTACAAGGCTGTTTAACAGCCTTTGAAAGGACTCTGAGATCAAGAGAAACAAGATTCTGTTTTCTGAAACTACTGGACGCCTGACAGCCAATCAGTATTGAGAATTTCTCAGTGACCAAGGTTAAAGTATAAAAGGGTTTATTATTTAATTGTTTTGTTTTTTATGCCGCCACTAACCAGAGCCAGAGCCATAGTGTTTCGGGTTGACCCTCCGTCCTCCGCACTTAAATTTGGCACAAACATTCACTTGGACTCAGGGGTGAACTTATAAAATTTTGGTGGCTTAAGGGTCAAAGGTCATGGTGAGCTCACGCTCTTGTGAATGCAATATACAGTAATCAGGAACTTAGAAATTCATGCACTAATTATGACAATTTAACTCAAATGTCTATGAGGATATTGGATAATGACAGGATGATGACATTTTTTATCCAAAGGTCAGAAGTCAACTTCACTGTGACATCAAAGTGTTCTGCAAAAACCACTTCTGGTCATTATTCAATGCTGTAACTACAACCACAACGTTGGTAATTCTAGTTCCTGTTATGATCCTAAATGAGTCTCACTCTGTCTAAAAATTCGGAGGAGTTTTTTGAGATTGTCTGATACGTTCATCAGAGTTTTGACTGAGTTAAAACATTCATGATGATCATAAACATAGCACTCAGTACAGGAAGTGTGACAGGTGGATAGCGTCATGGTGCTGAGTTTCCTGTGTGAAAGGACCTTTTCATGGGGCTGAAACAAGCTCAGTTAACTTCTGTTTTTCAGAAAAAAAAATATTAAACACATTTTTTTAAGCACTGGCTATGAAAAATCAAAAGGATGAACACTCAACAATAAATAAAACGCATCTTATGAGTCATAAACACTTTTAAAAAATAATTAAGTTCACGGAGTCAATAAACTGAAGGTATACAGTCTTACAAGCGTTAGAGTTAAATTTACTTTTCAGTCCCATTTTCACAGGTTTGAAGAGTCACTTCTTTATTTGTCACTATGGCCAAACCACAACTTCACTGGACCTAATGTAACAACAGCATGAGAGGCTGCTCCCGGTGTTCAGGGGTAAACTGCACACTAACCGTCATCACTGCTAGCTGCGTTTTTATAATATATCTAATACGAATTAATCAATATTTAATAATGAAAACTTTGACTTTTCATCCAGCGCCATCATCAGGTCAGAGGATAAGCAATGAATGACCGAACCCACATTTTATGGCAGTCCATTCTGAGCCTCAGTGGACCCATCAACTAAATGACTGTGAATATCAATCATTCACACCTCTGGTTAATCAAATGTCCCAAACCCAACAACTACTCAATTTTTGTATTTGGATAAAAAACACAGTGATGGTTCATTCTAACTCATATAATTTTAACATTAAACTTTTAATGCTCATTTAATGTATAAAACAACACAACAACTGAAATAGGTGCCTTAAAAAACTACAGGTCAAGTTACTAAATTAGTAAAAAAAAAAAAGGGTTAACTAATCACTTCATATCCGTTTAAAACACACTTAACACTTCAACAGAGTAAAATCCTCGAACGAGCAGGGAATCACAATGTTCTCCTCCTGTTTAGTGTTTACAGCTTTTGAAATGATGACGTCGTTTATTCTGTTTGGTCAGTAATCATCAAAAACATCAACAAAATCTCTGACTGTTTGGAACAATTTCAAAAAAGCTCTGGGTTTAACTCACCGAGGAAGCAGAGAGGGCAGATGAAACCTTCATGTCGTCTGGATGTTGACTAACTGTCAAACGGTCTGAATAGCCGGTGTGATGTCCTGAGCCTCGATCACCACTTCCTTTTAAAAAGCCTCAACATGTCCAGGTTGTGCTCTGTACAGAAGCAGCAACCTTATGGTTGCATGAGGCCGGGCCGACATGATGAAGTGGAATTCAGGCATGCAGGTGAGATGTTAAACTTCAGCTGATACATAAATTACACGTGGCATTTTGCTTTGTTTTCACACAAGCCAATGAGTCAGGTGAATATGCAACATTTTTTCTCATGTTGTGAAAACTCCTCATATTTAGCCAATTGTTACCCAGTTAGCAACATGTTCCGGTGAACGCTTCTAGCCCAGTATACGCTGGGTCTTCTGCCCTAGTCTGGCCCATACACTTCCATATTTGGCCTGATTCTGGCTGTTACCCTCCACTGTTGACTGACAGTAAAACTTTCTGTGTGTGCACCAGAATTGGCCCAGATCTGGAAGTAGAATCTGACAGTGGTCCATGGTCGGACTTGGTTAGGGGCGTATTTTTGAGACAGTAGAAAACACAATATTTGGCCAAAAGTATTTGCCAAGAAAAATATGTGCTGGCCTGGGTAGCCAAGAATACAAGAATGTTAAAGTATTTAGAAACACCCACCGAAACGATCCAATATCCATTTAAATCTACGCTTCATATAGAGTATTTTCAGCGGTTTATCTCCCTGTGAAAACATCACTGTCCTTTCAGCACAATTATTCTGGCAAATACTTTTGGCCAAATATTTGTGTTTCTACTGTCACAAA